TATATAATTATATAATATATATAAATAATAATATATATATAATAAATATATATAAATATCTTATATAATATTTTTATTAGTATATATATATATATATATTCATGTACGTGGCGCGAGGTATATATATATGTATATATATACTTCGCACCACGTACATAAATCAGTGACACAGCTCGTGTGCAATCAAGCGCTCGCAATGACAACCATACTCTTTCCAAGCTAAACTTTTTCGCTTGCCCCCGAAATCTCAGTTTGTGAATGAAATGAAATCTCAGTTTGTGAATTTCCTGCCAGTTCGGCTCCACGCCTAAGCCAGCCTTCACCACCATCTGCACGACTATCTTGATCTATAAGAATCGCAAGGACATCATTTACAAGCTGAGATTTCATTTCACTCACAAACTGAGATTTCATTTGATGACCCCAGCATACATAATTATATATATATATAACCTCATCACTTATTTTCCTCTCGGTTTAAACTCTAGTCAACCACCTCCGCTACCATCCCACCTTCCTCCACCCATCCCCTATTATACTACATCAGTTCTAGGATAGGGTTAGGTTTAGGGTTAGGGTTATGGTTAGGGATAGGGTTAGGGTTAGGGATAGGGATAGGGATAGGGTTCGGGTTAAGGTTAGGGTTAGGGTTAGGGTTAGGGTCAGGGTTTGGGATAGGGATAGGGTCAGGGTCAGGGTATGTACCCGTAACAAGCGGTACTTACCCGTAGTCCAGCCCGGCGCCCTCCACCGCTGGAAGGGCGTACGTTGTCGCACATATCACGAACCCAGTATACCTACCGCAGAATCCGGCTCCCGGGATGCACGCTGGGCATGGATCAGGCTCCTTGAATATCTCTCCTTCCTCGCAGTCGGCGATCGTCTGGTTCGTATCCGGCGTTCCCGTGTCCGTCACGTTCTCGGCGCAGTCGATCCAGCTGCGCGCCAAACGAAAAGCCCGCGCGCGATCAGCGATGCTGCGTCTCCATGACGACCGTCGCATACACGCTTAACCAGTACACCTACCGCAGCCGCAGACGAACGCAGTACACCTACCGCAGACGAACGCATTACTGCGTTCGTCTGCGGTAGGTGTACTGCGTTCGTCTGTGGTAGGTGTACTGCGTACGTCTGCGGTAGGTGTACTGCGTTCGTCTGCGGTAGGTTTACTGCGTTCGTCTGCGGTAGGTGTACTGCGTTTCGTCTGCGGTAGGTTTACTGCGTTCGTCTGCGGTAGGTGTACTGCGTTTGTCTGCGGTAGGTGTACTGCGTTCGTCTGCGGTAGGTGTACTGCGTTCGTCTGCGGTAGATGTACTGCGTTCGTCTGCGGTAGGTTTACTGCGTTCGTCTGCGGTAGGTGTACTGCGTTCGTCTGTGGTAGGTATACTGCGTTCGTCTGCGGTAGGTGTACTGCGTTCGTCTGCGTGTACTGCGTTCGTCTGCGGTAGGTGTACTGCGTATTTCGTCTGGCGGTAGGTGATACTGCGTTTCGTCGCGCCGGTTAGGTGTACTGCGTTTCGTCTGCGGTAAGGATGTAGCTGGAGCGTAGCGTCTGCGGTAACGGTGTACTGCGTTCGGTAACTGGCCGGTAGGTGTACTGGCCGTTCGTCGCTGCCACTGTACTGCGTTCACGTACTGTGTAGGTGTGACTGCGTCGTCCTGTGGTAGGTGTACTGCGTTTCGTCTGGCGTAGGTGTACTGCGTTCGTAGCGGTAGGTTAGTATGTACTGCGTTCGTCTTGCGGTGGTGTAGCTGCGTCTCGTGCTTGCGGTAGGCTGTACTGCGTTCGTTACTGTGGTAGGTGTACTGCGTATCGTCTGCGTATGGTGTACTGCGTTCGTCTGCCGGTAAGGTGTACTTGGCGTTCGTCTGCGGTACGCTGTACTGCGTTTCGTCACTGGCGGAGAATGTAGCTGCGTTCGTGCTGACGGTAAGTGTACTCGCGGTTTCGTCTGTGTGTAGCTGGGCGTTCGTTACTGGGGCGTAGATGTAACTAGCGTTCGTGCTGTGGATAGGTGTACTGCGTTTCTCCTGCGGTAGGTGTAGCTGCGTTCGTGCGCTGGGCGGTAGGCTGTAGCTGGTCGGGTTCGCGTCTGCGCGGTAGTATAGACGAAACTGCGGATTCAGTAACTGTGGTAGGTGTAGCTGCGTTCGTGGGCTCGCGTGTACTGCGTCGTATTGGCGGCTAAAGTGTACTGGCGTACGTCTGTAGGAAGGTGTACTGCGTTCGTCTGCGGTAGGTGTACTGCGTTCGTCTGCGGTAGGTGTACTAAACAATAGGTAATCTAAAAAAATAACTTAATTAAAAAAATTTCCTTATTAATTGCTGATGATGATGACTATCAGGCTTCCGTCTAAGAAAGGACGAATAAGATATATATATAATATATACACACACACGCACGCACGCACGCACTCACGCACTCACGCACTCACGCACTGACACACACACACACACACACACACACACTCACACACACACACACGCACGTACGCACGC